TCCCAGCTCACTCTGGTGCTGCTCACATGTGGTTCCCATTTTCCTTCAGGAAAACCCATCAAATCCTTCCAGGCAGCTCCAAGAACAGCAGGTCCTGGAGCAGCTTTGGTGGGTAGGAAATAAAGCTCATCCCCAGAAGCTGCTTCTCTCCAGCTCCTTTGGCTCTTGATGGCATCTCCCACCCTTCCTTGGTGGGTCCAGCCCCAGGTGGGGGCTGCCCCAGCTCCTGCTATCCCAGCAGGAACATCCATAGGTGGAGCAACCTGGTTTCTCGGTCAAAAAGAACTTCTCAGTGGGTTGTAACCCCAGATCCAACCTCTATCCCTGAGGGGATATTTGGTCTCCCCCTCTTCCAGTTCCTACTCCATGGGGCTCCTCTGGAGGGTGTCCAAGAGCTGAGGATGGTGTCCCAGAGCCTCAGGGAATGAAAACCTCGTGAGATGCCTCCTCCATTGGGTTCCTGGAGCTCAATGCATGATGTAAAGCAGGAGCTGGGGGGTTGCTGGAGGCCCACTGGGGTTGTTGGAGTCACATCAAAGCCCCCAAGGAGCCCAGGCCCAGCTGGGGCACTGGGAGAGACATAAAAGCAGAGCTTGGATGTCCCCACACCATGAAAACACTGCTCTGGAGCTCCCGCCGTGGGGTTTCCCATGCCTGGGTGGAGGCAAAGCTGCTGCTTTGGTGTCTTCTTCTGAGCATCTTCAGCACAGATGATGATCAACCAGTAATATCCTCCAGGATGGGCCAGAAGCTAAGCAGTTGGGCCACTAACTTGGAAGGTGAATGGTCCACTCAGCCCAAGGCGTTGTCTGTCACACAGAGGAAGGTGACAACTCCAGTCACACAGAGGAAGGTGACAACTCCTCCAAGGTGAAGTCCACATCCAGCACCAGCCTCTGGCTGCCCCACTTGGTGCATCCCAGGAGTTTCCTGGAGGAAACCCATGGAATGGTCTGGGTTGGAAGGGATCATCTAGTTCCAACCCCCCTGCATGGGCAGGGACACCTCTCACCAGCCCAGGTTGTTCCCAGCCCCATCCAACCTGCCCTTCAACACTGCCAGGGATGGGGTCCTTCCAGTGACCCATGGATGAAGCTGCCCTGGACCTGCAAAGCTCTCAAGATGCTGCAGGAACATCTCAGCACCTACAGGAGGCCCACCTGGCAAACAGGCAGCTCTCCCCCTCCCAACCTGCCACAAAAGCCCCACCACACCACCTCAGATCTCCAGCCACGGCTGGTTGGAAGCGAAGCCAGCGAGAAGAGCCTTTGGGGAGCAAAGAGGCCTTCAAGGGAGGCAGAAAAAGACACAAAGAGGGAGGGAAAAAAAAAGAAGAAAAGGTCTTCTCCAGTTCCTCCTCTCCACGAGGCAGGAGGGGGGCAGGGAGAGCTCAGCTGGTTCCAGCAGAAGGGCAGGCAGCCAAGGAGCCTCCTGGCAGGCAGAGCGGTGGCTTTTTGCAGCCTCCTGACACACCTCCTCTCCACGAGGCAGGAGGGGGGCAGGGAGAGCTCAGCTGGTTCCAGCAGAAGGGCAGGCAGCCAAGGAGCCTCCTGGCAGGCAGAGCGGGGGCTTTTTGCAGCCTCCTGACACAGAAGCTTCTCTTGTAGCTCCCACAGCTGTTTGGATTTTACCCGAGTTCATCTCCCAGTTTATCAAAGGGGCTCCAGGGCTTTTTTTTTTTTTTTTCCCCCCTTCTTATTTTGGGGTTGTTTTTGGTTTTTGGGTTGTTTTTTTGGTTCCTGCAAATCCACCCCAAACAAACGTGGGGTTTGTTTGGCGACGCGGGGAGGGTGGGGGGAGAGGATGAGGTGACATGTGTGTCCCCTCCCCACCTTCTCTGCCCAGACCTCATGCCCTTGGTGGTGGGACCAGAGGGATTTTTGGGGCATGGGGTTGGCAATGGGAGCATCAGCACATGGGAAGGAAGGAGGAGCAGGAGGGGATCCTGGATCCCAACCCCGGGAAGCTCCAGCCCATGGAGAGGGTGAAGCTCACCAGGAAGGCTGAGCAAACCTGATGTCCAGGGGAGTCCGAAAGTGTCCAGGTTTAGGTCAAGAGGAGGATTTTGGACAGTCCCAGCTCCTGAGCATCCCCCCCATGAGGGGCTGGGACAGCCAGGCAGGAGGAAGGGATGAGGTGAAGGTGGGGGGGGACAGTGCATCACTGGATGGTGGCATCTGGAGGCTTCAGTGTCTCCTCACTCCCAGAGACTCAGCAGCTTGGTCCAGGATCCCTCATGAGCTGAGCCTGAGCTCAGCCCCTCTCCCACTTCCATCCCAGTGGGATACTGGTAGGCCACCCTTCCCTTCCCACCCTCATGGATGGAGAGCAAGGCCCAGCAAAGGGACATCCCACATGGTCCTCACCACCTGCCAAGAGCAGGGACACGCTTCGCCCTCTGCCCCCACCTCCAGCTTCCCATCCCAGATGACAGCTCCCTTGGCTTCCTTCTCCTTCCTTTTGGGGGAGCAACGGATGATGCACCAACAGCCCCAGCTTTTCTCCAAGGCAGGAAGGGCCCTTCCTGCCCAAAAAGAGAGGACTGGCCACTCCAACCCCATGCCAAGGATCACCATAAAGCCCTTCATGCACCCAATGTCACACGTGGGTGTTTGTCCCTCTGGCTGTCCAACCAGCTGTCCAACCAGCTCTACTAGCCAGCTTTCTGCTGGCACCATCCAGGCAGGACTCGGGAGACCTCAAGGAAGACTCAGGATTTCCAGCCAGGTGAATTTTCCCATCTGCAGGAGCCAGAAACTCCATCACGAGACTTGGGACTTTCCACCTCCCTACTTAATACCATCAATTGGCTGAATAACCTCATTTCCTCTAGACTACATCTTCCAGAAGGGATGGAGATCCCAGCCCACCCTCCTGGACCACCCCCCACGGGGTCCCAACCATCCCCCAAAAAGCCAAGGACCATCTTTGGTCCCAAAAGCCAAGCCCTGCATCGTGCACCATGTGGGAGGTGGCTGAAAAGTTGCCCCAGGGCTTGTTCCACACACCTCCACCTCCAGAAACAGCCCGTGCCAGGCAGCAGGGAGGTTATTGCAACTGGAAGAGGGAGATTGAGGTGAGACATGAGGAAATTGTTTGGTGTGAGGGTGGTGAGAGCCTGGCCCAGGTTGCCCAGGGAAGCTGTGGCTGCCCCATCCCTGGCAGTGTTGAAGGGCAGGTTGGATGGGGCTTGGAGCAACCTGGGCTGGTGGGAGGTGTCCCTGCCCATGCAGGGGGTTGGATCTAGATGATCTTGAAGGTCCCTTCCAACCCAAACCAGTCTGGGATTCAAGGACTCTATGATCCCAGCCTCTCCCAGGGCTGCTGTCTCTCCCTGCTGTGGGGAACAGCTGGGCTGGCTGGTGGGCAGGGCGGGATGGGACGTGGGAACGCGCGTGCGGCTTCGCTTGGAGACGCAGCTAAAAATAGCACCATGAGGCTCCCACGTTCCCTGGGTCCCTCTGGCAGGAGATCAGTGTTTTCCTGGGAGTCCTGCACAACTTTTCCTCCTCTTGTTTCTTCCCAGAGGCAGCCGAGATGCAACTCAGCCCAGAGCCCTTCAAGCACCATCAGTAGGTTCCAGAGTTAACCCCTCCTACCTGGTCCCTCCCAGACCTCCCCCCCCTTTGGCTCCAGACCTGCAGGAACCTCACATGAGTCCCAACGTGACTTGACAAAGGGCAGAACTGTCTATTTTTGATCCTTTCTTTTTTGCTGGTTTATCAGATTTTTCGGGCCATGAGTCATGGTCAGAAGATGAGCAGCCACAAGCTGGTCCCACCATCCCCCCTGCCCCCCCAGCCCAGCTTCATCCTGCTACAGCCAGAGGGAAAAACTGGAGGTGACCATGATCTGGAAGAGCTTTCCAAGGGTCTCTGCCCAGGCTCATTAGTGCTCTAATTACCCCACAACTGGGCCACTCAAAGCAGGGGCTGTGAGGAGCACGGAGCAGAGAGTGGACACTGCTGGTGGGATATTGTCCCACCCTAATCTTGGATCTCCCATGGGAGAAGGGCTTGGCGTTCTGGCTCTCCCCACCTTCCTCTGGATGCTGAAAGCAAGGGAAGAGAATCCTGCCCACTCCTCACCCATCTTCTCACTTCACCCCAACCATTAAGCCCGTTATTTCCCAGTGAGCCAAGGAACTGGTGTCCGTTGTCCCAGGATGCATTGCATTAAGGGTGACACCCTGCCAGGTGCCACCACCCTTGGCTCCTCAGCCTCCACCACCTTTGGCTTTCCAGCCTCCACAACACTTGGTTCTCCAGCCTCCACCACCTTTGGCTTCTCAGCCTCCACAACCCCTGGCTCTCCAGCCTC